GGGGGGGGGGGGGGGGTAGTCTGGGTGAGAGGAAAAAAGCCAGAGAGAAACAAAAGAGAAACAAGCAAATACGACCGAACCTTGTAAAACCATTTTTCACTCCTCGCCTTGTTCTCACCTTGTTAGTTTTATCCCATGAGGCCACGGGGGCTGCGGCCAATCACTGCTGGAGCTGTGTCTTGATGAATGTTTAATTTAAACCCAGCTGTACTGGGTCCCTCACTATATAATAATAATAAAGTAGAATCAAATAAAATGAACTAAGTCGTCTGCTGTCTGACTGTAAGTCAAAGGTTAGAATTCTTAAATGCTCTGAGAAAAACCTGCTCCAAAGAAGATCCTGTGCTAATTTGATTTTTCTCTTTGGTTCTTTTCAGTGTCGGGAGTCGAATCAGAGTGAACTGACTGACGAATCATCCACAAAGTTTGGTCCCAGAGCAGAGAAGAACCGGAGAACACGGCTCAACCTCTGCTCGTGTCTACAGTAGGTGTGAGTGTGACTGTGAGACTACCCATTTTGTCTCAGAAAACATCTGAACTTCTTCGACAGTGTAAAGTAACTAAAATGTCAGATCTCCAGTCTTGATCTTTGCTCCACTCTGGCTGCAAACCTTCTTCTTCTACCTGTTCCATCAGCTGAAAACCAGGGCTGTGTCTTTGTGTGTGTGTCTGTCAGCAACCGTGGAGAGTTTCACAGAGCAGCATCACTCAGGAATCCATTAACTGTCACCACTGGACCTGGGCCTGGGAACCAGACCGACGCCACCTGAAGAGTGAGTCTGACAGTGAAATCAGAGCCCGGCTCAGCACTGAGGTGTCCAGGGTTATTAAACAAAGGCCCAGAGACATGGTGTAGTCTAAACCATTTCAACATTTCGTTAGTAAGAAACTATTGATGCAACACTTTAACCCTAACCTGACAGTTGAAGCCGTTCTTAGGCCACATGAAAACGCCTATCTGAGGAAACTGTGTTTTTGCTGAGAAATGGAAAGAAGACATAACTGCTAGTGTCTCCAACTCAAAGCTGTGGATGTGGGTGGAGAAAGAACGTCTGACTGAATGCCCTTAGTTTCTTACAGAAAGTGGCACGACCGCTGAGTGGACTCCAAAAACCACAGTATCAGGAAAGTAATTATAGTTCAACTGACTTATGTCCACGGCCCTGCTGTAAATTGCGTAGTAATAATGCACACTACTGCAATAAAAGAGATAGTAAAAGGCCCGGTATCGGTACTGTAGTATTCTCTACAGGAGTATTATGGGAATATTATACGATGGATAATAAAATATTATAAAGTACAGCAGAGTCGTTAAAGAGCAGCTCAGCGCAGCAGTCCTCCAGGTTGTTGGTCTTCTTACTTTACAGCCGCTGTGAACCTGATCCTGTCAGCTGTTTCTGTCCTGACTGCTGTTTGTAGCTGCTCCTGGGGGGGGGGGGGGGGGGGGGGAGAGATGGAAGGATGGAGTGTTAGTTTCCTCCTCAATCCTGACGGAGAGCTGATGGGTCACATGAATGTTTCGATGACAGACCTCAGATCAGCCCTCAGCTAACCTGGACACAGCTAACAGGAAGTCGATGACAATGTTATAGTTTTTTATTCATTTTTTTTAACTGTTAGGATCATCATCAGTCCAGAGAGATACGAGTTACGAGAGCTGACGTCATCGGAGAATCAAAACAATGTGATTCTGAATGTGTTTTTCTTTCACTTTCTAACACTCGATCGTAGTTGAACTACAGCATTTAAAGTTTGACAAAAATATTTTCAAAATGTGTTCATTATTCATATTTTCACTCTTTTTGCCTGTTCTAAATGCTCAACTTTTAACTTTTTTTTAAGACTAGACACTAAAAAAGACACAGAATTATAAACTATATATACAGTATATGTGTGTTTATGTACATGGTCTTCACACTGTTGCAGGAGAAGCAGAACTTTGGAGGGAAGGAAATCAACCGGGATCATGTGACTTAACAAAGAAGTGGGCGGGACTCTGCCTGTGTGCGCACCAATGGCAGCGCAGCGACGGCGCACGGTCCCGGCAGCTGCGTGGAAGAGAGAGGAGGAAAAAAAGCGAGAGAATCCCGGAGAGAGGAGACGAATAACGGTACACGGTGATAATAAGGGAGCGGTTTCTCCGCATCGACCCGCAGCGGAGCTTCATCTCCTCCTTCTCCTCCTGCGATGTGATGCATGCGTGACTCCAGGCGTGCGGAAGCGGAGGCGGCGATCAGTGTCTGGAGCGGACGGAACCAAGTGGTCCACCATTGTTTGCGTAGAAATAAGGATGGCCTGGATGTGGAAGGTGAGTGAGACTCTCTGTGGGAACAACACTCACTCCAGAACACAACAGTGTGGTGAAGTCAATAATTCAGAGAGGAGGCTGTGGTTATCAGAGCTGCAGATGTGAGCGTGGATCTGCTGCTGCTGCTGCTGCTGATGAGCATGATGCTCAGGCAACAGGACGTAAATCACCAGTCTTTGCAGGAGATTTGTTTGTTTGGGGCAGCAGAGGTGTGTGTTTGTGTGTGTTTGTGAGTGTGAGTTGGAATGTGAATGGAAGAGAGAGAGGGGGAGAGAGAGAGAGAGCGTGTGGGGTCGTTTTGTGCAGGGGGCACTGGTCTCCAGAAGAAACAGCAGGCCTCTGTGTTTGCTTCCTGCATTCATCCTGTCAGCGTTTGTGAAAATGATGCAGGATGACACCTCGAGGTGTCACCTCTTGGTGTCACCTTCAGGTGTCACCTGTCCGAGTGTTGCTACGACTGAGTGAGTGACTTTCAGGGAGAGGAAAGTTTGTGGAAGAGTTCTTCTTGATGAAAGTGACAAAGTGACTTAGTGGGCCACAATATTATTGTCAGTTTTTATGTACAATAAAGTTTCAAATTTAATAATAGCAAATTCTCCAACCGATCAGTAATTGTTTTGAATAATTATAATCTCAAAAAGAATCAAAAAATCAAAGACTTTCCTCTGTTCCTCCATACAGTTTACATTTCTTCACAAAACGTTTTTTAGTCAATTTTTGACAAAACATGTTGCTGTTTGATGTTGTTTAAGGGGGGATTGGTGCAAATTTTACATAATATGATGCATATTATGTGTCATTTTGTGACTTAATGTAGTGGTCTTTGATTATTAGTAGGACAGTTGTCTTCTGGGTGAAGAATCACGGCTTTAATTGTTGTCTCGTGCTTTTTTATTGTTGACAATATAAGCTGTTTTTATTTGTCATTTTATTTTCTGCAGAATGTCGCCGTCTTCTGGACAAAATGAGCACCGCAATCTCCTGGTGTTTGGCAATCGTCATGACAGATATAAACGCAGCATTTACTCTGTGCGGTAGCGAACTTAGCATTAGCTAGTTACACGGATATTAAACAGTAGCAAAATTATTAAAGGTTGAGATATATATTTTTTTGAATCAGTATTACCATTATTGTATTTTTTAAGGTTACTTTTCTTCTATCGGAAGATATCTATTTTATTCATGTTCCACAAGGGTAGGGTAGCGGAGTGACACATTTTCTGATAAGATTTTATTAAGTAATGCGGTCGGTTGTTCGGTTTTAGCTCCGCCAACAAAAAGTTCCGGTCAAAGGTTTGTCTGTACGTCACAGCCTCTGCTGTCTAAAATGAGTAATTGCACTCATCAACAAATTCCCGCTAAAACGTTGATGACGAGTGCAATTGCTTCCTTTCGTCAACAGAGGATGTGACGCACAGACAAATCTTTTGCCGGTACTTGTTATTGGCGGAGCTAAAATCGATATCTTTCAATCGTAGAAAACGGAATTACATTTTTAAATAATGATAACGATTTAAATCTCAACCTTTAATAATTTCGCTACATCCGTGTAACTAAAGCTAAAGCTAAGTGTGAAATCTGCGTTTATATCTGCCATGACGACTGTCAAACACTTGTAGAGTGCAGTCGCTTGTGCTCATTTTGTCCACTAGACGGCGACATTTTACAAAACATTTAATAAAAAAATATAAACTGCGTACTGTATTTGGTACAAATGGAGGAACAATACTGGGCCTTGAATACCTGGATGTTCTTTGTGGACTGCCACGCTGATAAACAACAGAAATGTGGTATGTGAACAGCAACATATTCTAAATGGTTAGGTATAGAAGGCTTATTGCGTTTGTTTGTCTTGAATAACGGCATTACAGTAGAGTGACCACCTGTACCGCTTTACGTAGATTTGCTTTGCTTTATTTACGTTGATTTGCTGCTAGCAATTTTAGCCGTTGTCCGTGTCACGATTTTTTTTCTCACTTTTCCTTTCAACATTACTTAAAATTAATTGTTTTATGTGGCTGACTGTCTATGGACAGTGTGCAGTTTTTTTGTGCAAAACCAAATGAAACAATATGAACATTCATATCGGTTAACCGACTGCAGAAAATCTCAAGAGAGATTCAGGTCCAGTATGGAGTTTGGTTGCTTTTCCTGCTTACAGAAATGTGCTATTCTTAGTGCTGAGAAAGGCTGTTGGTCTGCCACCTGCTGGATTGTGATGTAAAATCATGTTTTGGTTACAGATGGTCATATAATTTATAAGTTTTTAGGTTTTACACAGACCTGTTGACCATTGAAATGGTTTAATTTACATCAGGTCATATTTTTTGTGATGTAGACTAACATTTTAGTTTAATAATCTAAAATATGTAGTGGTTAAACTACATTTCATTTCAACTCAAACATTAATCACTCACTGCTGTCTTCAGTAGAACGTGAACTGGTCTCGTAGTCGTAGCCTGGCCTGAGTCACATCAACAACAACACATGGAAACACTTTGCTGTAATGACACTGTTTCCTCTTAAATTAAACCCACACGATCATTTGGCACATTAACATTCTTTAAACTGTGTGAAGACGACCTTAACATGTAGTTATTCCCAGCTACACTGTGGAAAACCTTTGCCCTTTGCATTTGTGTTTTTGTTTTGGATTTGAAGCACTGATTTGTCTGGTTTTATTTGAATATTTACATTAAAATGATAATGCTGTTTTATTTTAGCGTGACTTTTTTTGCTGTTTTGTACAAAAAGATCATTTTATGAAGTTTCTGATCTGACACAGAGTTCTCTTCTAGGTTTGGTTATGTTGTCATCGGTGCAACCTCATGCGTGAGAAGTGCATTCAGGCTCGGATGTGATTCCACTGTCATCGTCTGCCAACGTTCTAACAACAGAACAGGGTCAGAGCTGCAGCGTCGATACCAAGGGTTAATTCAGTGTCGCAGACAAACTCACAGGAAGTGACACAGTTTAGGAGTTCTAATCAAGCCCTGCCCGTACGAACAAAGACACTGTTGTTTCCCTCTGTTTCATGTGTGTTGACAGATTTAGGAAACTCACGGTCGTTCATTTGGGATGAATGTTGACTCTGTGTCTCAAAAGAGTCCTGCAAAGAGTCTGAGAGGAAAAATAGAACTACAGGTGGTTGAAGTCAGCTTGTGGTTGGAGGCTCTTGAAGTCGGCCTGTGTATGGAGCAATAGCTGTGGCTGTGCTGATTTCGTAGTGTTTATGGTCAGTCCACGTTTATAAAAAAGTAACATCTAAAAGTAAAATTTTTTTTTGTTAATGTTGAGATGCATGCAGAACATTTTTATATCCAGAGTCTATCACAATAAATAGTTCTGTGTGTGTATATAATTATATATATAATGTTTGGGGTTTTTTTTTGGCTGAATAGTATGTGTGTTTTGTGGATTGCAGGCTGCTGTTTACGACCTCTGCTGGTAAAATTCCAAACTGCACTGTGTTTAATATCATGTCCATTCTGGGGCAGTGGAAGAGAGTTTTTTTTTCAAATGTCAAACTTAGAACAAACTTAGCTGCTTCCTGTGTTTACATCTGCTGGTGTTGTTTGCTGTTGTCTGTGGATATTTCTGGCCTCGTGTCTGAAAACAGCAACAGCTGCTGCTGCTGGATTTAAACACGGAGCTGAGACGGTCTCTGTCGTCTGCTCTGCCTGTTGTCGTTGATTGTTGAAAATCCTTCAGAGCCGACAGTGTAGCATTTATGCTCCCAGCTGCTTTATTATGCTAATGTAACCTACATCTGCTGTGCAACCATGGACACGCTGCGGTAGCAGCTAGCGCAAAAGGCTTAGTTTAGCCACGCTGGTAACCAAGGGTGATAACCTCCCTTCAGATTTGCCGCTCATGCATGTGCCTCAGCGGCAGCGGCAGCAGCAGCAGCGGTTGTGGTTAGAGAGCAGCTGGATGACTTTTTACCCTCGTGGAATCTTTTCAACATGTGTGAGATCTTGGATCTTGACGTGATCTCTGTGTGTGAAGAGGGTCTTACGGCTGAGGTTGTCTCTAATCCAGCGTGCTTTAATCATAAGCCACTCTGCTCATTGACAGTGTTTGAACTGTGAAAACCCCAGCCCTTTGTGTCAACACAGCTCATCATCTCAGCAGGTTTTTTTTCTTTTTCACGTCAGTCTTTCTTCAGCTGGATTTGTTCAAAGTAAAGAAAAGAGTTTAATGAGAGTGAGACAAAATGAAAACTACAAATGATGATATAGTAGCAGCTTGTTTTGGTCCAACACCTGTCTAAACTATCTCTACACACACACACGTGTTCTGCAGCTCACAGAAAAGCTGCTCAGATTAAGGGGTCACTCACACTTTCAGGATTAGCAGCAGCCAGTTAAACACCTCAGCGTCCACTTAGAAATAAGATCAGGACCGCGGCCACTGAGTCCCTGCCAGGTCGACAGCAGAGCCGTCCGCCGGTGGTCAGATGGTATCACCATGTCCTGATGGAAGCGAGGACAGAAACAGGAGTGTCGGGTTAGGACGTGGTGGGGAGGGTGGAGGGGGAGATAAGGGGGGAGCCGACCTGCTGCAGTGTGGAAATGACAAATGGCAGATGGACGTCTCAGTGTGTATGTATGAAAGAGTGACCGATGGCTGTATAACTCTGTGTGAAATAGGAAGTAGAGCGTGGGCTCCAGGGAACGAGCCGTGCTGAGGGACTGGGCCGTAGACGTGTTGTGGAACAGAGACGTAAAAATGTGTTTGAAAACAGAAAAATTCTGTTCTTTCTGTTTTTGTTGTTCACTGCTAATATTTTAACTTTTTTCAACACTTTTTTTTATTAAGAAATACATCATGTTCATGTTGAATTAGATCAAAGATCAAATCACTGATGGATTCTCAACCCGTGCTTCACTTGTGGTACTTGAGCTCCCTCTTGTGGTGTATGTAGAATTAGATCCCCAGTTGATTTGGTGAGGTTAAATGAAATTACTCGTGGCTTTTCAAACTGTGGTACGCCCTCCTGTGGTGGTACCTTGTTATTAGTTGTTGTATGTGTATATGTTGTTGCTGCTGTGGGCTGAGAAACCACCAAATGTGTCCATTTTTGGTTGATGAAAAAAATCCCTGGATGTATTTAAACGTCCGTCAGTCGTCTCTTCGGTCTCTCGTCCTAATTTAACAGAAGTGCTGACACCTCAGTCTAGTGGCCGTGTCACTTTGACCTCTGGGAATTTTCTTAGCGTCTCGTCGAGATAATGAGGTGACGGGATCAGGCCCCAGGTTGTAACCCCCCCGGTGTCAAAATATCTGCAGCGCTCATCATGAGCTGCTGAGCCAGCGTTAAATCCATGTAATTGGATTAGTGTCGTTGATGTGCTGCGGCCGCTCGCTCCACTCCAGCAGTTTCATTTCTCCTTCCCTCCTCTGACGTCTTGGCCTTTATTTTTCACCCCACTACAAAATTGCGGACAGCCGACAGTGTGTCACAGCGGTGTCGAGGAAACGCTCCCTCCTCCGACACTCTCTTTTATTAAAGTGCCATCAGTCAGAGTGTGAGCTCGCTGGGACCCCGGTCTGGTCCACGATCCACGAGCCCCCGCTCCTGAGGGCTCTTGACGGAGTCATCTAATAAAGGGTTTCAGTGCCAGTGTTATTATCCTGGGGGGGGGGCAGCACGGCGAGGCTAATTGGCTGATGGACTGAGGAGGTTGACAGACATGAACACAGACCTGTGGGTCCAGTCACAGCATTAAACAAATTGCAGTCCTTTATGAAATATAATCCCATCTCTACTTTAATGCTGCTGCTGCTGCTGCTGTTGCTGTGGCGTTCATTACGGAGATGGACGTGGGTTCACGGTGCCACTGTGCACTCTGGGTAATCACTGGATCTGCGCTGAGAGCAGCTGTTGTGTTCCTGCTGCTGTTGTTGTCTGACTGTTGTCTGACTGTTGTTTGCTCTGTGACTCTGGACTCATCGATCTGATGACTGAGAATGGGTTTTAGAAGAACAGATTCTGTTGGAGGTGTGGGGAAATATCCATACAGTGAAGTATCCTGATATTCCTTATCCCGTATCATCTATCTCCTCCTCAGTCATTGATCAGTTATTGATTATTTCTCACTAATTCCCAGTGCAATATTCCTGTTGTTGGTTCATTTTCTTTTTCTTTTCTTTCTTCTCTAGTGATTCCAAATGTAGATCCCTCTGTTCCAGTGTTAGGAACTGATGTTCAGATGGAACAGAGTCTCAGTATTTCACAGTATCCACAGCTGTTGTTGTTGGTCAGAGCAGCTTCTTTTTTCTTCTTCTTTTTTTGACTCTTGTTATTTCTGACAAAATATAAAACAATAATAAACTACAGGCATTTTTTGAGGCCATCCTGGTCCGGGTGAGGGAGGGAAGAAGGGGGAGGCCTGAGCAGGGAGGCAGTTTGTTTATGCCTGAGGGCAACTGTGGGTCCAGCTGATGTTGTCAGGGTTTCTTCTTCTTCTTCCTCTCTGTGATATTTGCTGAATCGGTCCAAACAAATTCACACGGAGACAAATAACGACGTCTGCGTCTGTGTGGGTCGGGACGTTAGCAGACAACACGGCTGCTAACGAGGACCGAATACCAGCTTCACAAATTGCCCTCTGGCAAATATCGCTGCCACATTTTTCCTGCCCCAGGTTTAATTAGCCTCAGTGTCAGCTTCTTCCCCGAAGTTTCATTCTGACTTTTGTTTCCAACTGTGCTGTGAACAGTCAGAGAAGTGACGGTGAGCTGTGGTTGTTGGGTCCACGGTTGCAGCAGATGTACTGCACCCTTT